TCAAACTTGTTTTAGGTGCAAGGAGACAACTCCCAGATGTTCTGCCACGGTTTGACCATTTCTAACAATGTCGTGTTGGGTTGTATTCTGTGTTGACAGTTTGCAAATCTCAATATTTCAATAATATGTTTTGTCAAGAGACTCTTCCAACCCATGTCACATATCAGAGGAAAATTTGAAGTCGACGTGGAAAATCCCAGAAAGGAACCGCAGGCTCTGTATCATCCCAACCCAGCAAGCTGATCCGCGGAGAAGTGCGTCGAAACGTCTTAAGCTTGTAACACTCATCTTCCTTAAGTCCAAGTTTATATGTATCCAACAGATACTTACACTTATCAATGAAATGTATTTCCCGTGCGGCCAGGAGCTCCGATCCTTTTCGCTAGTGAGTGAGAGTAGTTTTAGGCCGCTTTTAGCAATATTCCAGCAACATCACGGCGGGGCATACCAGAAATGGCCTTCACACATTGTACCCAAGTGGGGAATCGAACCCGGGTCTTGAGCGGGTCGCGATCCTTATCAGTATCAACAGGGATAATCTACAGCATCTTCTACTCTCCCTGGTATCAAGTAGAAAGAATCAATGTTAACATTTGCAAAATCTCCAATTAAATCTATACAACAGTAAAAAGTATTCCCTTTAACTATTGTCCACAGCAGAATAAGGTGTACAGATTGGTTTCAGGCACCTGTTTCTGAAACTTTTATTCTTCATCAACATACAGATCGTCATTCTCTAGCACCAGAGAAGGTCCAGGTCAGACTACCGGCCGGTCTGACATTGACATCGTCATATACATTCACAGTGGCCTCTCTCATTTCAACCACAGATAGGGTTTCTTAAAATGTTAATGAACATTTCACCGTAACACATATACGATGATCTCACAGGACAAAGATAACACACACATAATTAAACCAACATGCTTCAGATTTAGCTGTTCTTTAACGTCATCAAATGGATGTCCAACACTTTCAAACAATCTAACATCTGTCATGGAATCAGAAAAACATATTTCTTCGCTTTGTCTTGCATGCGTTCACTTCCTGGCCATGGCATGGTATGCCCCGACTGTATGTATCCTGTTCTCAATAAGTTTTAAAAGCTTCACATAGAGCAATAATGTCACGTATTTCAGACAGAAAGTGATTTTTCCATGTCGTTTTCGTTCCCCGTAAGAGATCACCCAGAACAATTCCATGAGGCCAAGATTCTCAAGGTTTTGCTGCCCGCACAGGGTGACTGCTACTCCCTCGGTGCTTGTTTTCTCTTTCAGGTGTACCCTAATATGTCATCTTTAGCCTTTGGTATCGCTACCCAAAACATGGTACTTCTGAAGTCAAACCAAAGTCAAGCCGACCCTGTGTTACAACTGTGTCCAGGAACGCCTCGTACCGCTTCATCATTTGTAGCAAAAGTGTACAGCATCCTTCATTACGGCGGAGGGCGGTGGCGTAGCCGAGTGGTTCAAGCGTTCGCTTGTCACGGATACATTCCGGGTTCGATTACCCAGATGGGTGTATTGTGTGAAGCACATACTATTTTGCAGGAATATTGCTAAAAGCGGCGTAAAACCATACTCACTCACTCTATTGCAGTAGAAATATCCGACCAAACAGTGCGGGACCGCAAATCCCATATCCTACATCTGATAACCAGCATGTTTACATGTGCGTGCATGGCCGATCCCAGGTCCCTGTCTTCCCCCCTAGCTATAGTATGTCATGTACACGCCATACTTGTGTATCTGGGTCTGAGTTCTAAGGCTTGATGTCAGCATTCCTCAAATTGTATTCTGCCTTACTGGTGGTGGTGGTGGGATTGGGTTTAACGTCGTGCTTGAGAATATTTCGCTCATATGACGACGTGCATTCATGCGTGTGTAGGTGTTTGTGCGACTGCTTGTACTAGCCAAGGCTGAAGCTGGTTTTATAGTGCTAGCCCACTGAGATACCATGCCGCAGTGAAGCATGAATACCCCACTCAGACACATTATACTGACTCCGAGCCGACCAGTCCTTGGTGTACCCATTAATGCCGAGCGCCAGGCAGGGACCAACAAGTACCGGAGGCGGTCCTGCCTTACTGGAGGTAATACAGGCAATTAATCGTTAACTTGGGTGGTTGGTTTGTTGTTTAACGCCGCACTCAGCAATATTCCCGCTATATGGCGGCGGTCTGTAAATAGTCGAATCTGGACAATCCAGTGATCAACAGCATGAGCATCGATCTACACAATTGGAATTCGATGACATGTGTCAACCATGTCAGCAAACCTGACCACCCGATCCCGTCAGTCGCCTCTTACGACAAGCATGGGAAGACCAATTCTAACCTGGATCTTCACGGGTACGTTAGCTTGATTACAGGACTGGTAACTGTGGCTTCATGAGAGGTATCTTTCACATTTCACATACAATGACTGTCTGAACAGTATAGATAATGTGTTGCATTAACTGTACACGGCTGTTGGGATCGGGTTAACAATTAACATGCCCAGCTGGGGATACGTGTATACAATCATTGATTGTGCGGTTTAATTAGTGGTGAATGGTGATTCTGAACATGACAGCGTGCAGCAACAAAGGTTGCGACGCGTAGGTCTCTCTTTCAACAACGTTAGAAAGCCACGGTACAGATCTTGATCTTGGTCAGTATTTCAACATTAGTTAGACTGTATTATTTCAAAAAGGAATTATACATAAAATGGCGAAAAATGATTTAGAGAGTTTGAGGTAAGAATAAACAATATGATTAACTGTATTGTTTCATATTAGAGTCTGTAGATTCACGACTGGAAGTGACAGCATTGGTACACATATTGCTGAGTGCGGTAGAGAAACGGTATAAATGTTGACAGATGTGCTTAACCCAAGATATCCTAGTGTTTGGAGATTAATACAACGTAAATATTTTGAAAAGTGATTTCATTGTAACTTACAAGTTAAAAATAGCGTGTACGTGTTGCCCAAACACATCTTACCAAGCCCAAATTTCAGGACATCCAGGCAATACCATTCTGGGGTAAACGAGTGACCTGTACATGCCAGGAGGAGATAGAGGTGGTTACATGGGAACATTACGCTGTGGTTACATGGTAACATCGCTCTGTGGTTACATGGGAACATCACGCTGTGGTCACATGGAAACATCACTCTTTGGTTACATAGAAACATCACTCTGTGGTTACATTGGAACATCACGTTGTGGTTACATGGAAACATTACTCTGTGGTTAAATGAGTTACATGGAAACATCACACTACGGTTACATGGGAGCATCGTTCTGTGATTCCATGGAAACATCACGCTTACATGAGTTACATGGGAACATCACTCTGTGGTTACATGGGAACATCACTCTGTGGTTACATTGGAACATCGCTCTGTAGTTACATGAGAACATCACGCTTTGGTTCCGTGGAAACATCACGCTTTCCATGAGTTACATGGTAACATCACTATGTGCTTACATGGGAGCATCGCTCTGTGGTTCCATGGAAACTTCACGCTTACAAGAGTTACTTTGGAACATCACTCTGTGGTTACATGGGAACATCACTCTGTGGTTACATTGGAACATCGCTCTGTAGTTACATGGGAGCATCACTCTGTGGTTACATGGGAACATCACTCAGTGGTTACATGGGAACATCACTCTGTGGTTACATGGGAACATCACTCTTACATGGATTACATGATAACATTACTCAGTGGTTAGATGGGAGCATCACTCTGTGGTAACATGGGAACATCGCTCTGTGATTCCATGGGAACATCACTCTTACATGGGTTACATGATAACATCACTCTGCGGTTACATGGGAACATCGCTCTGTGGTTAGATGGGACATTAATATGTTGTTACATGGGAGCATTATTCTGTGGTTACATGGAAGCATCACTCTGTGGTGACATGGAAACTTCACGCTTACAAGAGTTACTTTGGAACATCACTCTGTGGTTACATGGGAACATCAGTCTGTGGTTACATTGGAGCATCGCTCTGTAGTTACATGGGAGCATCACTCTGTGGTTACATGGGAACATCACTCTGTGGTTACATGGGAACATCACGCTTACATGGATTACAAGATAACATCACTCTGTGGTTACATGGGAGCATCACTCTGTGGTTACATGGGAACATCGCTCTGTGGTTACATGGGAACATCACTCATACATGGGTTACATGATAACATCACTCTGCGGTTACATGGGAGCATCGCTCTGTGGTTACATGGGAACATCACTCTGTGGTTACATGGGAACATCATCGCTCTGGTTACATGGGAACATCACTCGCTGTGGTTACATGGATAACATCACTCTGTGGTTACATGGGAACATCGCTCTGTGGTTAGATGGGACACATATGTTGTGAGCATTACTCTGTGGTTACATGGAAACATCACGCTGTGGTTACATGGGAACATCACGCTGTGGTTACATGGAAACATCACTCTGTGGTTACATGGGAACATCACGCTGTGGTTACATGGAAACATCACGCTGTGGTTACATGAGAACATCTCTCTTACATGAGTTACATTACTCATGAGTATTCATGTATTACTACCAGCTGACACTGGGCTATACTATGTGTATCACTTGCACCAACTGCATGCATTGTGTTTGTGCACAGTGTCATTAATGAAACTGAAATACGTTTATTTATACTTATGAAGTATGTAACGTTACATATTACCCCAATGCACCACTCTATGCCAGTATGTTACCATTATTAAATCCGTTTGAATAGTGTCATTTGTTTAAGGCCATTTTCTGAATACGAACTTAAAATCAGTCAATTATACAATAACCGTTAAACACATTAAACTTCAAATTGCAAACCTTATCTAACATCCAATTTCCACTGGAGCAGCAACTGTTATTGGCATGAGGGACAAATGGCTGAAGAGTAATCAACCCTCCCTAACCGCACATGGTACCAGCACTGACACCAGCTTTCAACTGTCTAACGACGTCACGTGATCACAAACGTCATGGGTCACGTGACAACGGGGACTATTTTTGTCGAGACATTGATGAAGTTGGAGAATAAGAAAAAATCAGGTCGGATGTAAACGCAGTTCAAAGGTAAATATACATGTTTGTGTTTGAAGGCAAGTGTATGGCTGTGAGTGTGACTTTTCGTTAGCTCTGCTTTTAATGATGTTCATATGTCTTTGTTCGAATTGGACGTGATTTCATTTTTTTTTCGTAAAATGTTCATGTAAAAGTTGTAAACTGTCCTTCATATGAGTACAATCACTTCTGCTTGTCCGTCTAGCCTTCTTTATCAGGGACTGATCACCTTTTGATATTTTTGGACGGGGCCCTTGGGAACTTTATGAAAATATGTTTTGTTTCTGTATTATGAGTTAACTCCAAATATAAACTGGTCGCTGGACATTACCTACGTCCGGAATCTGGATATTCCTGTCTCAGAAAGAAATGTAAATCAATGACTAAGAAATGACTAAGAAATAATTAGCAGCGGATTCGTTTTTCGAATAACGAATAACGTGCTGTCAGTGGGTTCCTTATTCGTTTTTCGAATAACTTGCTAGCAGTGGGTTCCTTATTCGTTTTTCGAATAACGAATAACGTACTCCCAGTGGGTTCGTTATTCGTTTTTCGAATAACGAATAACTTGCTAGCAGTGGGTTCCTTATTCGTTTTTCGAATAACGAATAACGTGCTGTCAGTGGGTTCCTTATTCGTTTTTCGAATAACGAATAACGTGCTGTCAGTGGGTTCGTTATTCACTCTACGCTCATCAGTTTTGTCAGATATAAAATATAAGATGTAAGCTATGCAGCAGTGGGTTCGTTATCAACTCGATGCCCATCACTTCTACCAAATATAACATAGTCTATATCCCAACAATTGTTTATTAATTCATCACTTCCGAATAGCACAAAACTGACCCGAGCCGGGTTCGTTATTCAGTGTATGTGTGTCCATCAACTCTATGATAGTCTTTCTCCAAACAACTGTCAAGAAAATCAGAACTTCTACAAATTCAAAAACTAAATATCCCCGGATTAACTGTTCAGACTTGGGACAACGAATATAAGATACGGTGTTTCCAATTAGTTATTCTATTTACGTTATTTGTTCTCGAATAACGAAAACATGACAGCAGATGATTTGTTAATCAAACTCTGTATGTTCACGATCACTGTAAGTCATCCAAATGCCTCATTTAAATATTTCGATAGAATTGATGGACATACGCTGAATGACTGCTAGTTTTTCGTAATTCATCAGTGCTGAATAACTAAACAGCTCTTGCACGTTAGTTCGCCTGTAGAAGGGATCTGCTGTCTTTCATTACATGGGTTTCAGTGTATATGACCACGCCATTGTAGATGTTTCCTGTGCAACCTTGAATAACGAACCCGCTGCTTGCACGTTATTCGTTATTCGACATACAAATAACGAAACACGGATCTGCTGGGATTCTGGAACCTAATAATTATTAATCCATTTCTGAATAACAAACTCAGTGCTGGTTAGGTTGTATCTTATAGTTTATGTTTGAGTGAACCGATACAGTGAATAACGAACCCACTGCTAGCACGTTATTCGTTATTCGAAAAATAAATAACGAATCCGGGGATAGTTAGGTTTGCATTATTCAGAAGTACTGAATTACTTGACATTTGTTTGGAGATAGACTATCATAGACTTGACGGGCATACATACACCGATAACGAACCCGGTTCTGGTCTGTTTTGTGCTCTTCGGAAGTGATGAATTAATAAACAGTGGATGGGATATAGACTATGTTATATTTGATGGAACTGATCGACACAGAGTGAATAACGAACCACAGCTAGCACGTTATTCGTTATTCGAAAAACGAATAACGAACCCGCTGCTAACTTCTGGCTGCCCCAGATTTACACCGCCTGCTCCCAAAGAATACTGATTTTGAGTGTAAATTATCCGGGGCATTGTGAACCCATTATCTTTCAAGAGCCTCTTGCCACTGTTGTCCTTTCCTCAAGGCCATTAACATCACAGTTGGACTGTATTTAAACATACGCACACTGAAGATATAGTTCGTATTGTCTCGGGTAGTGGAATGGACAGATAAGACCAGCAGCGGATTTATGTTTATGTCATATTCTCTTACCAATGGCATGATTTATACATTTGTTAGATGACTCTTAGCATGGCTTCTACATATAGACCCGTGGTGTAGTTGACAGAGCATTTGCCCAGTGTACTGACGCTAGTTCGTACCCTGGTGGTGTCGTACCCAAAGACCTGCCTGGCACTGGGCATTAAGGGTAGAGAACAAAGACTTGTCGGCTCGTCAGTATAATGTGTCTATGCTGGGCAAACCTTTCTCTAAGTGACCGGTAAACATACAGCCATACACGCATATGTACATCCACGTGACATCCAGACATCTTCAGCACGACGTTAGGGGCGGTGGCGTAGCGTAGTAGTTAAAGCGTTCGTTCGTCAAGCCAAATAGCCGAGTTCGATTCCCCACTTGGGTACAATGGATGAAGCCCATTTCTGGTGTCCCCCGCGCGATATAGCGGAATATTGATAAACGTGGCGTAAAACTAGATTCACTCACCCTCTCAACACGACGTTAGACCGGTTTTCACCTCCGCCAAAACTGACCCTTGTCAGATCTGGCGTTCCGTAAGTAATATATTTATTTAACGAAAGTTGCTTGTTTGTTTTATAACAATTGACCTTTCGGTGTTTGTGTTCATAGAACGAGGTCCACGTGCATCTTCTATTTCTATGGATTACCTAGAACATATTTCATGACTTGATCTTGAGATGACAGACCAATAACATCAACCCAGGACTACATTTATTCTGTTAATGTTTGAATGTGTTGTGACATCAGCAAAACACGTTGATCGACAATATTTGGGCTTGGACCCAACTTCGATATATATATTCAATACAACAGATTTCGTAGTTTTTTATATACAGACTTGATATCAACTTGTCAAAGCCCCAGGGATATTCCGACTGGGAAGAAACGTTGTAATATCAAAATGAAATATTTGAAGTTTCTAATAAAAGCAGTGTCTGTTGTATGATATCGACTGTAGTAGGGTACAAGTGTTAATGACTCGCTATCAGATAGTGGTGAAACAAAATACTGGCCTAAATATGAAAAAGGCTTACACTCAGAATAATCTTGCAACGAACGACACCAGGTTGTCTGACAGATGATAATACCCCACATGATCCGTAAAAATGGATTGTAAAGCCTCCTTTGAAGTGAATTTCATGACTCACTGGAACAAGCACGGGTAGAAAGGGCGCATTTCATATTTGCCAATTTGTATTCAGAATTGTGATTATGCTTCAAATATGATATCAAATGGTTTAGTCATAGTTTTGTTGACTGTTTGCCATTATTTTACTCAGTCACCTTATTAACGTATTAATATTAGTTATGCATAAAAACGGGGTTGAGCATCAAGTTGTTTTGAAGTTAACATATTTAGGTCCACTCAGAGTAGACAAATAACTTGAAACGTGTCCCCAAAACACGGAATTGTTAAAGAGTAGTTTGACGCCTCCAACCTGTTAATGAAGCTGCATTTGTCTTTCAGATGAAGTTTCTCTCTACAATATACACTCGGATTATTCAAGTGAATAATTTAACTTTCAGCCAAACATACTTAGTCTCTTTTTCTTTGACAATTCCAAATGACCAATGAACATATCTGTAGCAAATTAGGAGCCACGTGACCATGTGGGTAATCAGAAATATTTGTCCTGCTTTACTTCATAGGTAAGGCGGAAATCGAGTTTTCTGTAAATTTCTAGTTTTAACACATTCTGTGCTTTTACTGATCAAAAACCTTACTAAACTGATACACTTCAATTCAAAACAATTTTACACGTAATAGTCCACACTTGTACTAGTTCAGTGCATAATTTCGAACTGCAGAATCGGAAAATCCATTCCATTTTAGTAGCACCCATTAGCTTTTCCTGGAATTTAGCGAAAGGCCGACTTCTTTCCTGGAATCGGTTCGTGAGGCGGGTTCAGTAACAGTACCGCGGGGTGCTGAGTTAGGTGAATTATAAAGGGTTAGGATTCACATGACGCTTGCAAATAAGCGGAGGCCGGGGGGATATGTCATCTTTTGATGACTCGTTACCATCCGCCATAAAATAGAAGCAACATATAGGACCATGTTTCCTCCGTCCGTCACTAGTACTTCATTTCCAGACATGGTTAGACATGACAAAGATCTTTGATATGAAATGTCATATGCTTGCAATGAGAGTACCGTATTTGTGATGTGAGCACCAGTCTCTAATAGGAGCAAGGCTCTAACAGACTGGTGTATGACCACCGTAATGCTCTTGGAATCAGCTTCACTCCCAAAATCATCTCCTGCCTTTTTACTAAATTTCTTAATTTACTCAGGTGCCTCCTACATCGCCTATTTACAGGCTTTTCTTGTGGCACATGCCATGAAATGTTATTTAATCGGAGAGTTCGTTTCCCGTTTTCGGTGTGAATGTCTTCTACTGAGTAACGCCCCTTACGTCTAACCTTTCTTTCACTAAAAGTCCGAAATGCGGAGGTTTCGGAATAGCAAGGTGCGGACACTGTCTATTTTTCAGGTTACCATACCACGCTGTCTGTATGTATTGTTTGTTATGTAATGTACATGGGCCTGTGGTCTTTATACTGAATAAATTCTTCATTCCATTACTGAGTGATAAAAGCAGAACTGCAGACTTATCTGAATAACGAGTAAAATACACACATATACTGAGGGAAACAAATACGGGAACACAAGAAAGCACAAGTGTTCCTTTATTCTTTTCCATGTTTCTTCTCAAGCCTTGTATTCACTGTAGGTGAAAACTTGAGAATATAGACAGGAACACTGCTTTGACCTGATGTTCCCTTATTTCTTTCCCTCAGTATATTAACATATTTATTATTCAATTAATCATAATCCTTATATGATTTTCAGTTTTCAAATCTCCAGTTGTGTATTGGCAAGGGTTTAGTGATTGAGAAAAGAAATTAAATCAACAGCTACTGTGCGTGCACAAATACCCAATCGCTGAAGTATGTCACG